TACGTACATACACACATCATCAAAAAAATTGGCTAGCATGCTACTAATATGTTAAAACGTGGAAATATAATGAAAATTCCGATTTCACTTTTCGACCCAATTACAATAACTTCCTAATGGGAAGTTAAAAATCAAAGTCAGGTGAGGAGAGGGGCATGAAGTTCTTTACCTTATTACTCACTCGGGCTTAGCGTGTTCTACTGACCCTACAACAACAAATACAAAAACAATAATGAAATACATATAAATTTTGATTTTTAAGAATTTTATTTTTTATAATAGCGAAATATCGTTTTTAAGGTCAATGGACTTTCGTTTCTGTAATCGAAGGTTTAGTTTATTCACGGTATACGGTGGCTTAGCACAATATGTTGTTCATATTATACGAGATATGATTATTATAGCTTCTTGACAATATGTTAAATATAATTAGTTAACTCTACAATTGCAAAATGGTTCATTCAGACTTTTTTGAAACAATGATTGCTATAATCTATTATAGGTAACTTGTTATTAATTAATAGATGCGATTATTTTATATTACCATAAAAACAGTTCGAATATAAAAAAAGGGGAAGGAGATATTGCAGTAAAAGATAGTTAAAAAGAGCCTCACCCCCCAATTACATGCACGCGCTTTAATTAGCAAACACGTTTTTGTTCCCTTTCATAATCATCTTTGAATAAGTACTAAATGCATAACTTAACATTTGTTTTCGGTGATAAGATGTTTGTAATAAACGACTTATTTTATTTATTCATTAGCAAAGCTGATAAGAAGTCTAATAACAGAGAAACACATTTCATACATATTTTCATCATTACCAGAAAATATCTTAATATTTATCGTGTGTAACCTTATTGTTAAAATGTTTTCTTGGGCAGTATTACTTAGAAGTACCACAAAATGCCATAAGTTGTAAGTAAAATATTTTAATTCAGTTATAATACGTAGCTTCTAAATGAAATTTTCTTCTTGGGCAGATTTGTTTCCAATAATAAGGCATTTTTACAAAGATGCGGTTTCAAAAGTGACGTGATTCAAATAGATAAGATAGTGATAGCGAATAGGGGAGAAATCGCGTGCAGAATAATTCGGACAGCGCGCAAACTTGGAGTGAAAACCGTTGCAATTTTTAGCGATGCCGATGAAAATGCAATGCACGTTGCTATGGTAATTATAGAACAATATTTTTACCTTTTTTTAACAGATTTAATCTTAATTTAATCAGAAAGATCTAAATGACACCAAAAAAGAATCATGATTGCAAATCTTATTTTTTTTTTTTAAAGTTAGGAGTAAGTAAATACGTAAATATATTTTAACATTTCGTTTTCACCAAGGCAGATGAGGCTTATCGAATTGGTCCACCTCCAGCAAATCAAAGTTATTTATGCGGGGATAAAGTAATTGAAATTGCAAAAAGATCGGGCAGTCAAGCCATTCATCCAGGTTACGGTTTTCTTTCGGAAAATGCCGAATTTTCCGAGATTTGTCACAAAGTGGGTGTAACTTTTATTGGACCACCCGCATCAGCTATAAAGAATATGGGAATAAAAAGGTAACATGATTTTTTTTATCATGAAATGATAATGCCAAGGAAAAAATTATAACTGAACTTCATATTTTTTCAATTTTCATTTTCGTAAAGTATATGTTATGCTATTCAAATCTTTTTTACTTTTCACTTAATTTATTAAACTCATTTACACAATCTATTTAATTGCTTCTTAGTACATGATACCTAGGTACTGAGCTTTTTAACCCACCCTGGTTTATGTTGAATTATTTTGATTTCACTTTTAATAATCGAAGTGTTAATTTCATACATTTTTGTTTAGTACCTCAAAGATAATAATGTCAGACGCTGGAGTTCCAATAATTAAGGGCTATCACGGTTCTGATCAGTCTGTAAAAAAATTAAAGGAAGAGGCTTCAAAAATCGGATATCCCATAATGATAAAAGCGGTTAGGGGAGGAGGTGGTAAAGGAATGAGGATAGCCCATTCTGAGAAAGATTTCGAAGAAGCACTTCAGTCGGCTCGTACCGAATCTGAAAAATCTTTCGGGGATTCTGATGTTTTACTAGAGAGGTTTGTGTCTGAACCTCGACATGTCGAAGTTCAAATATTTGCGGACACTCACGGTAATGCTGTCCATTTGTTTGAACGCGACTGTTCTGTACAGAGAAGACATCAGAAAATAATCGAAGAAGCTCCTGCGGTACGCACAATAAATTCCTTTGCAAAGAAAAAAACAGAAGTGACAAAATCGCAATGAACGATAACATGTTTAATTAATTTATAACAATTCTTAGTTATAATACGTAATCTACCAAACAAATGTTACAACTATTTCATTCAATATAACAAAAATTGTTTTTGATTATTTTTAGCCTGGCTTAGCAAACGATTTACGAAATAAATTAGGCTCAGCCGCTGTAAGGGCTGCCAAGGCAGTGGGCTATGTGGGGGCTGGTACTGTAGAATTTATTTTGGACCGAACAACGCACGACTTCTTTTTTATGGAAATGAATACGAGGTTGCAAGTGGAACACCCTGTTACGGAAATGATAACAGGTATAAAACTTTTCGTAAATCCGTTAACTCTTTCAGATAATTACAGTCTAAAGACACTTCTTGTTATCCTACGTCTACATATATTCTCATTTCCCAAAAACTAGAACATCCCAAATGCTGACTGGCTGTAAACTACAGTCTCTGCTTCTCTTTACTCCTGCTTGCGTTCTTAATATGTCTTTGACTAGCTCTCAGAATGCGTCCTACTTTTCTAACATTTTCTCTGTTTCCACCGCACCCATTCTCCACGCCATTCCCTTAACATTTTCGATTCCTCCCTCCCTCTTCGCCAATTTAAGTCACACTTTCAGCGACACCCCTAACAAATATTACGTCACAAAAGCTAGAGCATCTCCCCACTCTATAAACGATTTCTTCTAATGAAAAGTGGTAATGAGAATAATTTTCTTTCGTAACAAAAAATGTTAAGAACTTTGTCAAGTTAAGAAAGAAAAATTAAAATAAAATTGACGAAGTGCAAACTTCACACCTCCTTAGACCTCCTTACCCCTTGTCTTATCTTGTCAAGCTAATAAAATTTCCCTCCCTCCCCTTATTTGGGAACGTATTTTATGAATGACCCCTGTGCTATTTTTTGTTTTATATTGTCTCAATCAGTTTTTCCATTCGTCCTTATCTGATATCCTAGATATCGAGAATCGGTGACTTCTTTTAGTTTTTCGTCTCCAATTGTAATGTACAATACGATTAATAAAAAAATTAAATTGACAATATACTACGTACTACGTACAAATTGAATGGTAAATTTACAAAAGATTTTTAATAGGGTACGACCTGGTCGAATGGCAAATAAAAATTGCAGCCGGCGAAAAGCTTCCTGTTGAACAGGAAAATATAAATTTCAAAGGTCATGCATTCGAAGCCAGGATTTACGCAGAAGACCCTAAAGGTGGATTCCTACCAGGGGCAGGACCTTTGCTCTATTTATCAACACCTGAACCGGCAAAAGACGTACGGATTGAAACCGGTAAGTAATAAACAATGTTTAATCTTGTTTTTATTTTAAGTAGTTACACATTTAATAATCAATCCAAACATAATTAAAAAGTTAGCATTTGATGTGTGATTTTCTATTTCCGTTTTTTCTTTCCTAACTCTTTTATTTGTTTGATTTTAACATTGTATATTTTCAGGAGTACAAGAAGGGGATGAAGTTTCGATTTACTACGACCCCATGATTGCCAAACTGGTGGTTTGGGCAAAAGAACGAACAGTTGCCCTTAATAAATTAAGAACCAACCTACTAAATTACAATGTGAGCTATAAGTGCTTATTCTTTAATTAATTATTAAAGTAATTCTCTTTTTTAACTGTTCTTTTTATTTTTCAGATTTCAGGTGTAGAGACGAACATAAACTTTCTTTTAACTCTTACAAAACATCCAGAATTTACGAAAGGAAATGTTCACACCAATTTTATACATGACCACAACAAAGATCTTTTCCCGGAAGTTAAACCATCTCAAAACCAATTAATTCAGGCAGCTTTAGCAGTTATACTGTCGGAAAAACATAAAGAAAATACGGAAGCAATTAGACAAAACAATCAATTCAATCCATTTATTGTCGAGTCTGGTTTCAGGGTAAATTATTTACATAAACGAACAATTAAATTAATATTTAATAATGAAGGTAATTTTTCTCTTTTTTCTATTCAATTTTGTGTAACTTCTTCTATTTGCACTTTCCAAATAATGTTTTTTCTAGAGTACGAGTTAGTAATTCAGTATTTGGGAAAAAATGATTATAATGTTTCACTGGATAAGGGTAATAGCTGGATAAAAGTTGGTGGAAGTCTCATTAAAGAAAATAATGTTTCAACTCTTGATTTCTTCATTGAAGATTACAGGGGCTCTACTAAATTTTATTTAAATGACGAACATATAGCTCTCTTTGATCTGGTAAGTACAAAATGAATTTAAACATTCATCTTCCAAATTTCTAGTACATACATATAAACATAAACAAGTCTAAATCAATTTTTCTCAGTTATGTTTGAAAAAACTCAGTTTAAGTTTAAAGTTAAACTGCTAAAATCTAAAAAATACAAGGCCAGTCGTAAAATACTAATCAGAACATCAGAATTAATAATTTTTTTCTAAACGCTAGGACATTTAAGAAGTTTTTTATTAGGTTCAAATACAGCAGATAAAAATAACAATTTTATAGGTTTTTATTATTATTAATTAGCTTGCGATCGAACGAGTTGTAAGTTGTAATTGAAAATTTTTAACTCCGTGACATTTCTCTAAACGCTCGATACTCTTTGGTGCATTCATATTTAGTTCAAAGCAGAAGATACCGACTTCACGTAAGTAAAAAAAGGGAAAAATAACAAATTATTATTTGTATTATAAATGAAGTTACAAATTTATTTCTATCATTTCCAAATAAAGATACATCTTTAATTGCACTATAATAAAAATTATCACTAACAAACCAGTTGGAGTTTTTTAAAAATTAAGAATGCAATGGAAGACACATCCATTATTAGTCTACTGTAAAATAATCTTTCTTAATTTTTGAAAGAGCTTTAAATAAAATGGAAGCGGTATTGATTGGTAGGACACCTTCTCAGGCATGAAGGTCTAGTCAGAGACATATTAGAGGCAGAAACAGGACTTAAGTGAAGTAGAGGTAGACCTAGATTAGATTACTGTTCGCCATTAGTTAAGGATGTGGGATGTTCTAGTTTTAGGAAAAAGAGAAGATTAGCTCAGGATAGGAAGGAGTGGAGGTGCGTGTCCAACCAGTCTTAGGATTGACGACTTTATGAGAATAATATGTGTTGTAATGCTGAAATTTGCAAACGTTTTATACTCTATTACATGAAATGTTCTCGGTACATTATAAACTGTCGTAATTCAGCATTTTCATGTTCATTATAATTATTGCTGTACAAGCAATTCTAGAAATTGTTATATATGTATACGGAGGTAGATAATTGTTAATTGTTTATATGTCAAATAATAATTTCATCTACATGGAAAAGGAAATCCTTAAAAGTACTTATTCCTTCAAAAAAATAATTTGAATTATTCGGATATAATTGGCCTATTTGCTATTCCCATGATTTTGAAAGCCTGAAAGGTGAAATAGCACAAATCTGACAATTAAAGATGAGTAGTTTACATAATATAAACGAAGGTAACAAGAATTTTACATAAATAATTGTCTGCTACTGCAGATAATTACGTTTAAAATCATCGCTTTCACTTTTGATTGTCTTCGTAATGGGTTTTTACCATTTTATTATTTTTTTTGTTACCGTTTCATGATATGACGAAAATAAGAGGAATATCAATTAAACATTTTAATTTAATTGAGAAACAAAATTTAAAACGAAGGAGTATGGTCAGGTTTTTACAATAACACGATGTTAAACAAGAATATTACTTGAACTGACCAAAACGTATAAGATAAGTAATAAATAATAAATAATGCTTTTAGTTCTTCTGCGGTTCTGCTACTTATCATTGCCTTAGTCTTGCGTATTTGTACTTGGTCTTGCATGCTCGGTTTGCTTTTCAAACTAGGTCTTGTTCGTTCTTTCGGTTTTGGTGTAGGTTTTGCTAATAAAAAGGCCACAATTCAAAAACAATGGCAGTCTACCCTTAAATTGATTCGTTTTGTTGTTGACTATATGCACGCTACCCCAAGCATATACATAGAATTTATCAATTTGGGAAACATACTAGGAGAAAACATTGCAGGTATTATAAAGCTTTTTATTAAGAAGAAAACATTAATTCATAACAAAAAGCCTGAATGTTGGTAGTGTTATGAATTAATAAAAGTTAATTTTCACCACATATCTNTTCAGTGAGGAATCTTTAATCAATTTCAAATTAAACTATTGAAAATTTTTGATTGGTTCTTTTCAAAATTATTCTCAACGTGGCAAATTAAATGTGTTGGTAAAAAAACAGATTTCAAATGAAACGTTATAACAATTTGAATATTTACTCAGAAATTTAAATTGCAGTTTATCTACCCTCCTGTAAGAATCTTTCTATCAAGATTTAAAATTTTAAATAATTAATAACACTTTAATTTTTCTTTTCAGTTATTTAAGTTTTTGGAATCGATTAAATCATTGTTTCCCTTATTTATGAAATTTAAAAAGTAGTGCCAAATTCAATATTTTTTTTAATACGGGTCTTCCCAATTTGAGAAAAAGTTGAGGATGAGATAACAATGTAAATAATGTTATAAGCCTATTACATATTATTATTTTTATTGAATGTTAACAAAAACTGAATGATACCAAATTATTTTTCTAATGGATCTACTACATGTTGTGCTTTAATAAGTAAATAAATAATAAAAACATATTTTTAAACTTGTATATAGGAATTGAAGTGTACAAAATGTTTGTTTGAAAACGTACCAAGGGCATTTTAAAAATAGCAAACTTTTATGTTTAAAAATACTGCAATGATAATTGAAGAACCTGGGGTCGATACGTAGGTATAAAAATGACCCCCTATGTGTTTTCAAAAAAAATTATTTATAACTTGTAGAATTACTGCAATAGTTAAACAAAATTATTTTATATTAGTGGTAAAACTTGCCCATTTTTGGCATTTTTTTGTGTTTCTCATTATCGATATATATATATGTTGAGTAAAACGAGGTACATACCACTTTTCTTTTTTTTATTTTATTTTTTTTCTGAGGGGTACCTTCATTTACTCCATATGTTGTATATCAATAATAATGAGAGAATGTTAGAAAAGGCCAAGTTTGACTACTAAATGCAATTGTGTTTAACTATTGGAGTGATCCTACATTTTATGAACATTAATAAAAAAAATTTAGAAAGTTATTACACAACTCACTGTTGTTGGGGGCCATTTCCACACATTTATCAACCCCATTTCTTGGCTATTTTGTCTTTTTTTTATTATAATTGACTACGCGCGTATTTATTTACTTTTAGACCGTTTTAAACCGTCAGTTTGTACATTATTTTTTACTGATGATAACTACAACATAAAAATAATAAGAAATTCTGTTTTTTGACACTTAACGTGCCATTTTTAATGTTCAGTATTTTTTATAAAAAGAAAGAGAGAGAGGGAGAGAGAGAGAATGGTCTTTATTTGTCTATTTACCAAAATGATAAACTGTAGACTTGTGAATTTGTACTTTTCTTAGCTGCTAACCTGTTGCTGTTTTAATTGTAATTAAGTTATTTTTTTTAATTTACGTAATGAAAGTCCTTTTTTGTATATATCGAAGTGCAGCATACTGTGTGCATTTAATGCATTTTTATTTTGTACTAACTCGTTACTTTTTTGTAATTTATTGGACATTGTATTGTTCGTAAACAAAATATGTACAATTTAGATTTTATTGTACAAAATAAACTTGAACAAATAAACAATGTTAATTAATTTTCTTTTATAAACGTGTACATCAATTTCGATTAAAAAAGGGCAGAAAAATAGTGTCGAAAGTAACTATTTAAAAAAATAAGTTTAATTCTAATAATTATTGTTAATTAGGATAATGAACATGTCTCAGGAAGAGAATAGAATAAAAATAAAATAGTGCAATACATAACAATAAAACAGTACCTAAAGGGATAAACATAACATTTAAACGAAGATACCCCTGAAGCCATGGGATAAACAAAACAAAGTCGTCTTAGTCGTTGTTATTAATACATTAACATAATTTTATGAGAAATTCTGATACTTAATTGCAATACACNATTTCATCTACATGGAAAAGGAAATCCTTAAAAGTACTTATTCCTTCAAAAAAATAATTTGAATTATTCGGATATAATTGGCCTATTTGCTATTCCCATGATTTTGAAAGCCTGAAAGGTGAAATAGCACAAATCTGACAATTAAAGATGAGTAGTTTACATAATATAAACGAAGGTAACAAGAATTTTACATAAATAATTGTCTGCTACTGCAGATAATTACGTTTAAAATCATCGCTTTCACTTTTGATTGTCTTCGTAATGCGTTTTTACCATTTTATTATTTTTTTTGTTACCGTTTCATGATATGACGAAAATAAGAGGAATATCAATTAAACATTTTAATTTAATTGAGAAACAAAATTTAAAACGAAGGAGCATGGTCAGGTTTTTACAATAACACGATGTTAAACAAGAATATTACTTGAACTGACCAAAACGTATAAGATAAGTAATAAATAATAAATAATGCTTTTAATTCTTCTGCGGTTCTGCTACTTATCATTGCCTTAGTCTTGCGTATTTTTACTTGGTCTTGCATGCTCGGTTTGCTTTTCAAACTAGGTCTTGTTCGTTCTTTCGGTTTTGGTGTAGGTTTTGCTAATAAAAAGGCCACAATTCAAAAACAATGGCAGTCTACCCTTAAATTGATTCGTTTTGTTGTTGACTATATGCACGCTACCCCAAGCATATACATAGAATTTATCAATTTGGGAAACATACTAGGAGAAAACATTGCAGGTATTATAAAGCTTTTTATTAAGAAGAAAACATTAATTCATAACAAAAAGCCTGAATGTTGGTAGTGTTATGAATTAATAAAAGTTAATTTTCACCACATATCTGCTAGGAAATCTTCCAATGCTTTTACTTGAATCAACACGTACACTTTTAACAAGAAGAAAAATCACCATGATGCAAATATCCGTCGAGATGAGCCATCAGGGATGATCGCAGAAGTGGATAGAGGGGATATCCATGAGCAATATTTTAGTAAAACGTTATTTGTTGTCAAAAAATATTAAAATTGATCAAAAGGAAAAATTCTTTAGTATTCTTAATAAATATAGACTTCTCGATCATCAAAATCTTTTAAAAATTATCCAATTAGCCAAATTAATACTGGTCAAAATTGACGCCCCGTGGCGGAAAAACTACTATAGTAAAATAGGTGAGTGGTAACAGTATTTATTTTTTTTAGGGAGGTAAAATTCAATTTAATTTCGAAAACAAGCAATTTTGGATAGACGAAAATGAAAGCGGTTCAGGTGAATTAGATAATAGAGCCGTTGCTCCAATGCCAGGAGTTATTGATAGGGTATTAGTACAAGAAGGTGACATTGTTAATGAAGGTGATTCACTACTTGTATTGATGGCGATGAAAATGGAATATATAATAAAAGCCCCGAGAAACTGCAAGGTTGTTAAGGTACCTCATCAAGCAGGTGAAAATGTTTCTAAAGGCTCTGTTCTTGTGGAAATGGAGGATATTAAGTAATATTAAGACGGGTTAATTTAATGTTATTTTTGTAATAAATGCACATTTTTTATCTTATTTTGTTTGTATATTTTTTCAGATTGTGGGAGTATCCTAGACCTTGGTCCTCATATGTCCTTCTTTCTCCTGCTTCTGCTTTTTCATCCGTCATGTCTCAGAAGGTATTCTGCCATCTTATCTCTCCTTTTTCATATTGACTTCCACGTCGTCCTTTGTTCTAACCTTACTTTACCTAATCTCATTAAATTCGATTAGACTAGGATCATTAAGTTACGGTAGGTAGAGACAATACGAACGAAGTATGTGTTATAGTAGCTGTGTACTTTCTTTTATATACACAGATGAACTAAACCTAGTCCAATCTAACCCAGTAAAGTCACTATCCGGTGCATCTATAATTGAAATTGTTGATGGCCACTCACAAATAATGATTTTTATATATTTTTAACGATTATTGATCTCAAGGACCATACTTGAAATGAATAGTACAATTTTTTCTGGTAACACTTCTTCAACAATTTATTTATTATCAGTTGACTAAATGTAACCCATCCCCACTCATGGGGATGTTCAATTCAGCTATACTCCTTCAAATCAATAATCCTAAAGCATAAAGAGCAATTAAGAGGGGGAGTGGTAGACAAACAATTAAAGATGTAGATTGCTCGAGTTTTCTAGAAATACGAAAATTGGTTCATGATAAGAAGAAATGGAAGTATCTAACTCTTTGATGATGATGAAGGTCAAATATATGTACTTGACTGTACCTGTACCTGACAAATTAATAATATTTTTGATTTTACCAGAAAATGTACTTTATATTCATTAAATGTAGTATAATAATAATATATAAGTACGAGTTATTCATTTGTTGAATACTGAATATGTAGCACTGACTTGTAAAAGCAATTGTCAAAATCCCGACCTCAAAATAGAACATAGATTTCCCGTAAAAACGAGAATGGAAAATTATATACGGGCATCTTTTCAAGAAAATGTACTATCTCGCATGGTGCTGTACATACAAACAGTACATTTATCTAATACATCAACTGAATAGTAATTACAAGACGGTACAAGTGTAGCAATAGTATTATAGGTACATAAACAGCTATCATCTCGGAAAGAATAAGTAATTAATTGTAATTCAATGCATGTTAGATCTTAAACTGGGATTTCTCTATGTTAATATTGTGTTTTACCACAAAAAAATACCCTACGAGTACTTCTTCCTCATTATGCGGTATTTCAAGAATTATCTTTAATATAATGTAAGAGAGAGCTTTTTTGCAATTAAATAAAAAATTATAAACACGCGAATGTAATATTTACATAATGAGAAAATAATTTTCTATAAGTTAAGAATTATTTACGAGAAGGAGTATATATATAATAATTNAAAAAATTTCCGCGGATAAACTAAAATAAAACAGGGTAAAAAAAATTACTTATTAGAATAGAAAGAGTCTGCGATTCTGGATACAGTTTTGGATTAAAAAGAGAAATCAGTAAAACGCTCCTTGAAGAACTCGATCTGCTAAAAATTAAAGAAGAAGTTTAAGGTAATTACTACTAAAAATTAGACCCAATGTCAACTGATTCGAGTCGACTAGAAATTAAGTAAGTCACTCGCTTCAGTTACTTTAGAACTTGTCTAAAAACCAATCATAATTCTCATTTGAATGATAGAATCTGTTTAATACACCAAATCGTCCGCTAAAGTACAAACGACCTGTGATAATGACAGACTGATTTTGAAACTGAGTTAATTAGCAAAAATGTATTTAAATGCTTTTTATTTAACATACTTTCAATTTTATCACATGTTAACCAAATATTAAATTACAAATAACGTCAATAACTGCTCTGTTTCAAACTCAATTATGTATTTGGTTATCTTTTTAGTATAAGAAAAATATACTCTCCACAAAGAATATCGTCTACAAAACTATTAGTTTTATTGCAATGACTAATCTAAAATCTGTTTTCGACATTTCTAATCCTCTTATTTTTTTTTTTTCTCGCGATGAACTTTTTATTCCCCAACTAATTATTATATTTACGTGCAGTGACCGCCATTATTCACAAAAAATATTGTAAACACAGTTTAATATTCATTATATGATCATACTTGAATTTTCCGTGTACACAAAAACATACTTATAATGAAAGCCTTTTCAATTGCTTGTTTCACCGTCATAATAAAAACTGTAGTATTTACTTACTTTGGCTTTATTTCAATCATTTTCTAAAGGAATGACTGTAAAAGTCACAATTACCGATACCTACGATGGCCCCTACATGTCTACACATTATTATTAATAAACACAGCATTTAAGCGGTCTAATGTAAGGGATTACTAATGTCATTTAGCAATTATTATTAACAGAATAGTTCAAAATTTATATTTCAATAACATGCAGCTACTAAATTTGAGTAAAATCATAACTATTTTTCAATTATTATAAAAAATTTAGTTTAATTTATCTAATTTAAACACCCTTTGTTTTTTATCTATCCATTAGCCCTATCAATATTATTTCGTTTTTAAAAAAGTAATACGTAGAACTTCAGTCTTATCGTATAAGATGATCATCAGAAAAGTTTAATCTATGTACTTAATTTACGTCTTCACAATACAATGGAAATTTTTAATAATACTGTATTAGACACATTTCCATCAATTAAGTAATTCTTAAACCATTACAATTTGCATGAATAGTTTAGTTTCGTTATTGTTGCATCCGATATTAACAAAGACTCCCGGTTCTTTTTTCCTACCTTTATTATGTAACTTAATAGTGGTAATAAAGTTTAATGATGAAAAATGATTGTTTAGATCATAAAAATCAACATTTTTTTCTATACTATTTGTTATTGAAAATTTCAATAAACATACACGGTATTTTATTTACTTCTGCTTATTAGCAGAAATAGTCACACATCGAGATTAATAACAACTACTATCACATGTGGTCAGTATTCGGCCAATTTATTTTGTCTAAAACATTAACCAGGAATTGATCCCATATCCCATGATAACTCCTTTCAATGTTCAGATCCTTTAATCGCAAGGCAGTTATAAATTATAAAATCCTAGCTTAGAATTCAGTTTGTGACTATTAAGGGTTATATTCTATCAACTTTAATATCTAGATTTAGGGGTGGCCAACATACGGCCCGCTTCTAACATTTTTCCTGTCCCCCGAGAATCATCATAGTTTTAAAAAATGTATTTTTTGTTATAACGGTTAAAGTATTAAAGAAAACACATTGTTTGTGCAACCATATATTCAAAAATTAACTGTCAAAATTGAGAAAGGATTAACTTTGATTTTAAAACAATATTTTCGGAAATATGTGATAAATATTGCCTATTTTATTAACAAATTTACAATTATAAGTTCAAAAAAATGTACCTAATGGGTCTAAATCTAATGTAATAAATGGAAAAATTTGTGAATTATTACAAAAAACAAAAATATTTTCGACATTTCTAACTCTACAATTTTTTTCTCGCGATGAACTTTTTATTCCCCAACTAATTATTGTTTACGTGCATTACCCGCTTTCATTAACAAAAAATATTGTAAACACTGTTTAAAATTTATTATATGATCATACTTGAATTTTTCGTGTACACAAAAACATACTTATAATAAATGCTTTTTCAATTGCTTATTTTACTGTCATAATAAAAAATGTACTATTTACTTTCTTTGGCTTTATTTCAATGATTTTATAAAGGAATAACTCTATTTTGCACAATTACCGATACCTACGATAGCCCCTACATGTCACACTTTATTACTAAATTGATACTTATCCGCACTTCTTAATAAACACAGCATTTAAACAATCTAATGTAAGGGTTCACTAACATTTAAAACAATTATTGTGTCGGTAAATAGAAAAATTTGTGCTTATAAGAATTATTACAAAAAACGTATCAGATTAAATCAGCAAGACCAATAACAAGATTAGAAGTTTTTGAGCAAGACGGTTTTGGTGTTGCCCTTTTATTAACAATATTTACAGTCTTTGTCTACCCAAGAGGTTTATTCTAAATATTCCCGAAAGAATTTTTGAAATCGCACGAGTAGCTTCAGAGAATACCCCTTATCTCCAAACTTTATCTCGTTATAATATTAGTGAGTATAGATTAGTATAGATAGCCATCTATGTCCGAAATAAACTGCATACAACACTAGAAATAAATTATTTATAATTATCACCTTTTCTTAGATAATGCGGTAAAAATGTAAACAGGAGATTTGATACAGTCAATTACTTAATTAACTGAAACAAGAGAATCATGTGTTAACAAGGTCAATGCGAAGTACATATTGTATAATATAACTATAGGTATCCCTAAAAAATAAAGGCATACATCCTTATTATTCCTTTGAAGTTATGAAATATAGCTTAAGTTCAGAATGTACGTTTAGGTATACTTACTCCCAATTTCTATTTTCTTTTGGTTTACTTATACTTAATCTAAATAAAGCATTACTATTATCATTTGTTTAAAAAAAAAACAAACGTTCATGGGGCAAATTTTCCTATTGCGCATATAAATTTAATGATAATGAACATTGATAATGGACTCAAAAGAGTTATTTGACATTATGCCAACTTTTACTATAATGATAGTAACTGTTTATGTTATGTAAAAGTGATAACATTATAATCACTGCTTAAAACATCTTTGTTTCGTGCATTTATCATTGAAATACTCGAATAGAAATAATAAATAATTAGATACATATGTCGTAGTAAGAATTAATGAAATTTTGTATGTCATTTAGACTAAAAAATACATTAATCCGAGGCGGATTGGAGGGATGCTTATTCAGAAATGTTAAAACAATAAATACCTATTATTAAATAAGTCTGACTTTATAAAAAAAGCCACGATGTTATAAATTTCTAGTTCATTGTAGGTAAATAAAATCTTATTAATTGAAAACACAATACACCTAGCATTATATCGGTAATTCTATATCACACAATTGTAATTGATGAAATATTTCTATCATTACCATAAAGTTTTTCTT